TTTGAATGGCTAATGAATGCTGTGTATATATTTATTTTTTTATAGTTTTAGAGTAGGAAAAGCTTTAGAAAATTTGAGGAAAATCTTTTTTCTGGTTAAAAAGGATTTTGCTTTATTGAATAAATTAAATAATTATTTTTTGAATTTTAGAACTAGATTTGTATGATTTGAATGAGAAAAGCAGACCTGCTCATGGATACAGATAATACAAAATACCTGCTGATAACCGCCTGTATTCGCCGTAAATATCCGGATACGGATACAAAAATCAGTATCCGTGAGCAGGTCTGGGGAAATGTCAAAATCAAATCTCGATCGAAATATTGATGATTTTGATAATATTTTGCATGTGTCAATTGGTAAAAATTATTTTAAAATTCTCTTATCTTGAACCTCTAAATATAATTCAAAAAGATATTTTTTAATAGAATAAACTCCGTTCCAAAAAACCTCGACACCCCCCAATTTTTCGGAAAAATCGACTTACGACTGTCTATTTTTTATAACCTTTTTATATACTGATTCAGCAGCAAAAACTACCCTATTTTACAAAAAATTTTTGTAAACAGATAATTTTATCAAAAGTTATGATAAATTTTCAAAAAATCAGGCGTTCCAAATATCCTCAAACAGTTTGTAAAAATACTGATAATTACGGAAAAAAATTTTTTAAAATTTAACAAAAATTTCTATAAACATAACTATCAATAAGCTACAAAATAGAAAAAAAAACTAAGTCGAAAACTGCTTCCATCATCGAGATCTCAAATCTCGAAAATCAACGGAAAATAGGGTTACAGTACTTTAAAAAATATTTTATCCCATTTACAGCATATATTAAAAATTTTCTTTAAACCTATCTGAAAGCCCATAAAATTTGCTACAAGATACAAAATAACATAATTTTCTAAAAAAATTTATCCGGTAAATACTCAAGCTAGAATAACCTCTTGCCGATAATAGTGCATTTTTAGGCTATTTTTGGTATGCTATTTATTTAAGCTTGAATGCCGACACTGATAAATTTTTTAGAAAGATGAGCCCTTTTGTAACTTGTAGCAAATTTTATGGGCTATTCAAAAAGTATAAAATGAAATTTATAGGCATACTGTATTAGGTAAAAAATATTTTTTAAAGTACTGTAACCCTATTTTCCGTTGATTTTCGAGATTTGAGATCTCGATGATGGAAGCAGTTTTTGACTTAGTTTTTTTTCTATTTTGTAGCTTATTGATAGTTATGTTTATAGAAATTTTTGTTAAATTTTAGAAAATTTTTTTCCGTAATTATCAGTATTTTTACAAACTGTTTGAGGATATTTGGAACGCATGATTTTTTGAAAATTTATCATAACTTTTGATAAAATTATCAGTTTGCAAAAATTTTTGTAAAATAGGGTAGTTTTTGCTGCTGAATCAGTCTATAAAAAGATTATAAAAAAGTAGACAACCGTAAGTCGATTTATCTGGAAAATTGGGGGGTGTCGAGGTTTTTTGGAACGGAGTTTATTGGGAGATCTTGAAAACTCTGGCCAGAGTTTTCTGTATATCCTTAATAACTTCGTACAAAAACAAATGCAAAAAACCAATAGTATAAGGAATATTTTTAAAGAAAAAGGCGTGGTCCTTCTTATTTGTTTGTAAAATGTTTGTTCGGAAATCAGTAGTTAGGCCTTTTTATAACTTTTTTAATTATTTGTGCCAAAATTAATTCTTCAGGATTATAACCAACATCGCTCACAATATTGACTCTATTATTTTATTCAATTCTATTAGATCCGTGTCTTTTTAGAGCCGTGGCTTTTAATTTATTTTCAAATATCCAGAATTTATTATTCGATAAGTTCTCTGATATCAATGTCATCTCTTGAAGAGATTTTAGCTTAAAAAATATTTTTATTTTTTTTGAGATTTCACGAGAATCTCGATTTTTTGAAATAATGATTTCCATTCTTATAATTATAATATGATTGTCTTTTATTTTTTCCACTATTTTTTCCACTCTTTCCACTTCTTAAATAAATACAGAATACCTCCTTAATATTTTTTATTAACATTATTTAATTTTCTATAAATACATTATTTTAAATAAATTATTAATATCTAAATATTTTTTATAAAAAATTTTTTTAATTCATAAATTTTATTACCATTAAAAGCCCCCCACCTTCATAAAATTTCTAAATAATTTATTTTTATTCTTTTTAAACTTTCCTTATTTAAAATTTTAAATTCCAGAAATAATTTAAATTTAGTCTACGAATTAAAAAAATATTTACGAATAAATCCTCAATGATATCATAATTAATTTTGTATCTAAAAAAGTTTATACAAAATTATTAGAACTTTTTAGTTAATAAATTGTGTCTGAATAATTTAAGATTGTTACTAAAATAAATTTATTTTTAAAAGGTCTGGGGTATTTTTTCAATTTTTCAACAACTCGAATCTCCAATAAAATGGTATTTACTCTACTCGGAGTTGGTTACCTTAAATTATTAAATTTTTAGTAATTAGGGTTGGGGGCCCGGTTCGGTTCGATAGATCGAGCCGGACCTCGGATTTTGGCCCGAAAAAGACTCGACCGGTTCGGCCCGAAAAAATGAGGCCCACAAAAGAATCGAACGGCCCGGTTCGAAAAATCCAACCCTAGTAGTAATGTAACTTGTGGAAGCTAATTTGTAGTATTCCTTGATAGATCAAATGATTTTGTCAGTAAATTTTTCTATAATTTTTAAACTCAAAACAAATATTTATTCAAATATTATTCCAATAATTTTTTAATAATATTGTCGGCTTTTCATTGTTTTTGAGGTATACAAAATCCAGGAAGTTTTATACTCACATATTTATTTATTTATTCACATCCATTCCCTGTTGGCACGACATCCACACAAATTCTTTTAGGAATAGTAGCTCTTCTGCGTTTTATGCTTTTCAGTTGGGATGCCATTAGTGAATAGTCGCGCACCCAACTAAACTAGTATATATACCTTCATTCCCTTTCCTTTTCCCCTGTGAATGAGCTGATGAGCGGAATCGTAATTTCCTGCGTGCCAATTTCATGAACGGCCAGGCGATGGCGCCAAATGCCGTCCTGAAGCGCCATCATTCTCGTTTCTCCCCTTCCTAGCTAGTCCGTTATTCATAGAAAATGGCCAGATTCCTGTCACACAATCCAACACATTTTTTACCTTTCCTTGAATGGCAAGCAAATTTTCCATTCAACTAATTGCCAAACATTTATTTGCGTGTGTGCATCTTTTTTAAGCGCTAATGAGCAGCTAAAATAGCGAATAAATTGTTTTGGATAAATAAATGGGCAAGTATGGCAAAAGTACTTCAAATACTACTATATCTTTTCTATTTTTTTTTTGATAAATTAGAGATGAAAATTAATTAAAATATTTGAAAAAATAACTAAAAATTAGATCATTTACTCCTTAATTGTAAGAGAAAATTTTTAACAGTTATCTTATTGAGGCGTAGAAATTTCTTTCACACCTTACCTAACTTAACATTAGTTAAATTGAAGGAAAATTTTTAAAAAATTCTATTCTAAAAATTCTTTTTATTTGAAAAAGAGCTATTATTTTACGATAAATCGAAGCATATTTGCTTAACTGATTTTTAGTAAAGAATATTTGTGAATAGTTTTGGGGTCATTATTTCAGCTTCATCTTTATCGGATTAGCCTGACCGAGTCTTTTTAGGGCCAAGATTCGATGCCCGGCTCTATCTTACGGACCAGGCCGAACCGTGCCCCATCCCTATTCGTGAATCAAAGATTTGAGGCAATATTGATAAGTCATGTTCTTTTAACATACACAAATACGAAATTTAGTATTATTTTTTAGGATTATTATACTCATAAAATATTTTTAGATTTCTTTGTTTTAATTTCTTCATTGTTTGTTTTTTAAAATATCTGAATATTTTTCACAAATTTTCTTAGCTTAAGAAAATAAATTAAAAATGAAAAATATTCCAAATTCCACAACAATTCCATCAAGCAGCAATATCACAGTTTTACAAAAACAACGAAAATGTTTCTTGATAGACACTCTCCTCGAACAAAGACAGAAACGCCTTGAAGCCGCTTCGAATAATAAGGCAAATGAGGTGAAATTCAATTAATATTTTGATTTTTTGCCAGTGATAAACGTGTAGACGGGGATAGTTAAAAAGACCCGAAAGTTAATAAATAACTGAATAGAATCTAGGGTTGTCTGTTTTTGGCAATTGTTCGGATATCCGAAACCGAACCGAAAAATCATCGGTTCTTCGGTTCTGTTTGGTTCGATTCAGAACCAACAACCCTACACCCATCCCTAGCATCAATGACAGAAAAGCATCTTTTAGCTTAGTTACACGAAAAGTTAAAACTTTAGAAATACACCAAAACATAATTTGAAATTATTTCGGTTATTATTATTAAATTATTATTCTCTCAATCTTATATTAATTTATAATTAAGACCAAATTTTGTAACACTGTGAGGGATCAGAAAGAATGCTTTGATAAAAATGAAAATATACGTCAAGTGGATTTTGAAGAGAATCAAGAAGAAGCAAGGAATGAAAATAATGATAAAGAAGAAGCTATTGAAGAAACTCTTCCTAGCCTTAGCCATTTTGATAATGAAGAAAACATGAGGAATGAGAAGAATAAAGATGAGATTGAGCAAAGAAAATCTTTGTTGGATGCTTTAATGAAGGTACAGATAAATTAGTAATATCACTTGAAGATGAACAAGATATTACATAAATAACAAGGATCATTGAAAAAATCTTTTATAAGTCACCTCTCTATTAGAAATATTGTGAATATCAAATCACTATATAGAGTTTCCCAAATTTCCAAAACACAGGACCTAGAGAGATTCTGAGACTGAATTCAAATCATAGACACAATACACTAGTTACAGTAACATTACAACAAGGAACCATCCTGAGAATAGTCTTTAATAAAGTTTTGAGTGGTTCTCGCTAATTGTCTCTTATGAAATTTTGTTTTAAGCTTTTGCCTGCTGTCCAATCCCAACCAGATTCAAACAATCCTAACTCTGCTGATTCTGAGACTAAATTAAAATCATTAAATAATTTGTCTCAAGCATCAGAACAGCATAATCCGCAAAATTCCTTTAAACAACAGCCGCCTCAACAAAAAATGGTAATCAGAAATTTTAAAACTAGTATATATTAAATTTTAATTATTTAAAGGCAATAGCAGCAGCTACAGCAGCGGCAGCTTCTATGGAATTTTTACAGAGAGTTAGGCTCTTCCAGCAACACTTGACAAACAATGGCAGCCAAATGATACATAATTCTAATACAAGACAAATCCCTTCAAATAACTATATTAATTCCCTTAATTCTGGGTAAGATATATTATAATAAGGAGTGTTTGAAATCCAAAATTAGTGATTATGTTTACGAGCAAATTTAAAAGTTTCAAATACTGGCATACAATATTTGAAAATTTTTTCAAGTAGCAGTTCCAGACTGCTACATAAAACAATCCCAAAGAATTAAATCCGCTAGACTCGGGTGATAAAAATATGGCAAGATTCGCTTATTTGTACAGGAATATGTGCAATAATAGGTGAAATATGCATGAAATTCCAAAATAAATATGATAGATTTATATTGAAATTTTAGACATAAAACGACTGTTTAACTTACCTTAATCGTTTGAAAATGTTAAAAATTAACGGCATTTCGTTATAATAGAATAAAAGGATTAATGAAAGTCTCGAAGCTTCGATTATTGTTCTTTAATTTACAGACCATTTCCATCAGTTGCAGAATTATCATCTACTTTCCCTTCCCTCAACCCCCAACAACGTTTCCAATTTCCTCAACAAGAATTACCGAATAATTTAAATTGTTTTCAATTAAAACCACCCCCAATATTAATTCAACAACAGTCCCTTTGTTGGCAGCAATTTTTAGCCTCAGCCGCTTTACGTCGTCAAAACCCAATGCAAACATTTATACTAGCAAATCAGGAAATGATAAAAAGGAAAGCTTTAGAAAGGAATTTGTTTGGAAATCGAGATGATTTTGGAAATTCTTCAAATGGTAAATTAAAATATGATGTTTTCATTAAGTATTTTTACAGTAAATTTAAACAAAAATAAAGTGTTAATTTCTTGATATTTTATGAGAATTTTAAAAATATAAGGCGAACAAGATATTTAACAATAAGTTAAGATAATTTTTTTAAAAATCAGATTATTGCCATTCCTGATTAAAATCGGCTTAGGAATCTGTGAATAGCCTATTGGGATTGATATTTAATAAAATCTTATAAGGATTTAATAAAATCTTATAATTACAATTCTCCGATGTCGATTACAAATACCCACCGATAAAATTTTTAGGTTGATCGGTTTTTTCATTATCGGTATTTTTCGGTATTTCAGTACGGAATACCGTGAGCACAAAATACCGAGCTCTAATTATAACTTTAAAAACAAAGTTTCCGATCTTTAATCAAAAATTTATTTTAAAGCTTCTCGCAACACTTTTACAATCAACAACAATAACCAATCAACAAATAAATTGCACAAAAACAGCAACATCATTCATAAAAATACAAATCAAAGAGAATATTCGAATAAATTTTTGGCTGAAAATGCTGTTAAAACCTTGTCACAAATACAATCGAAAAGGCAAAATAAGTGAGAAATTCTTTCGTAATAGTCCTTTCTTAACCCCCCCCCCCTACTCATTTTACTTTTAATTTATTTTTAATTTAATGGTTATTCCTGGATTTCAAGAGATTATTTAGATTTAGGCTTTTGTATCTTAGAGATCATAATGTAGCTTCTATCATTTTTGGTTTGTTTTAATGGTTTTAAAAGTTAGAACATTACAATTTAATGTAAGGATGATACACCTAGCAGCATTTAAAACGCTTAGCAGGGGGTTAAACGATCTAAAAAGGATAGAAGAGAAAGCATTAGTCGATGCCTCGGTAGCTCAGAGGTAGAGCGCCTATGTATAAACGGTGAGTGGAAACGCCTAGCAATAACTGACAGGAGGTCGCAGGTTCGAATTCTGCCCGGTGGCTTTACTTATACTAAGTTCTTTCTTTAATAAGGTACGATTAAGCATATATGTAGTCCCTTTATTATCCTATGTTTCAAATGCAAATAATCCTACAAAATCTAAAAGTAAAATAAAAGTAAAAACCTCAAATGACCATATCACTCAACTATTTTTAACAAATAATTTTTTAAAGAATTGAATTGAAAAAGAAAATTTTAACAAAACAAAATCGAGGGCCCCATTCAACAACAAATGGATGTAGAATTGGAGGTCCTCATCGTTCATCCAATGTAAAAAAGTATAGATGTGATATCTGCGAGAAGACTTTTAGCCGTTCAAATACGTTAATTACGCATAAGGTAAAGATTTTAATTAATTGGAGTGAAAATATCTGGTAAAATTACTGTAATTCCTCTTCATGGGGTTTGGGTATAGCTTTTTAGCTTTGCTCGAATGATTCGAAAAACTATTGCTAAGCGTTTTCTTTTACCAGCTGGATGGATAATTTACAGTTTATTAAGACTGTTCTTTTTTGTGGTTTTCACATTTTATCAAGTTAAAGATTTTTTAATGTGTGATCAAACTTGATCAATCTTGTCGGAAAAATATATCACTTATCGAGGGAATTCGAATTGAAATAAAAGTATTATATTTTGGTTGGCAAAGCATTAGTGCTTCGCCGGAACCGCAAATTTGGCCGGAACCGGAATTTTATAAGCAAACCGGAACCGGAACCAAAAAATCCCTGAACTTCCGACCTACCGGAACCGGAACTTCCGGCGAAGCTCTAAGAAGCACGTTGTTAGGGATCGTTGGCCCGCGTCTTCTATTGTATTATTTTAAAAATATAATCTTTCAAAAAGAGTATCTATTTTAAATGTAAATTGCCAAAACATTGCGCAACTTAATTTATTTTTATTTCTATTAATTTCTTCCATCAATACTTTTTCCTCAATTCATTTCCCAGTTATTCACTCCACTTCATTATTGCAGAAAAAATTTTTTTGTTTTGTTTTTGGGGACATAATGATGGGGTCATCACAAAATTGAATGAATAACAAAAAAAAATAATTTTAGATAAAGATATGTCATCAAGAAAGTGAGAAAGGGGGAAGGGAAGGGAAAGAAAAACACTCGACATTTAGTCGAGATTGAGTAATTTAGAAAAATAATTTCAGAAAAAAATAGGAAGAATTAAAGTATATTCCTTTCTTTTCTTGATACTTGAGAATTAAATTGAAGGCGCGCGCGAAATTGTTAAAAACAATTGGAGCGAAAAAGATTGGATGGGAAATGTGTGGGAAATAAATATAGAGTAATTAAGTATTGAAAAGTTATTTTAGGGAAAAGTGTAAAAAAATTATTTTTTGAGGAAAATTTTTGAATATTTAAGCAAAGATGAGGACCAATCAAAATCTTGTTCTTTCCTCAACCCAAATCATTAGCATTATCGCAGGTCATCAGATCCAAAGTATTTAAAACCACAACCTCTCACAGTTACAGAGCCCTTAATAACTGCGAACACTCCATAGTCTCTGGTTCGAACACTCCATAGCTCTACAGAGTCTAGTAGGTATATTTCTTTTGTCTACTTGTGTGACATCCAAAAATAGACAGTGAACTCGTTAACATTAATGATTAATAAATTTTTTGATAATTTATTATAAAATAAAATTAAAATAACAAATTATATATTATCAGAATCAAGGATAAACAAAACTCATAATTTATACACCCATTTAATCTTAACGCGAATAAAATCCCAACTAATCTAACAGTATTAAAAACTTTATTAGGATCTGTATTCTTACAATTTTCAAAATTTTCCAGTGCCAATTAAACTGAAATTCAAAAAAACTTGATAACAAATCTCTATTTTCGACATCAAAATAATATTATTTAACTCACATTAAAAATAAATATGCTCATATAATTTTATGTGTCTCAATAATGAAAAAAGACAAAAAATGTCCTCATTTTCAAGGATTAGTTATAAGGCCAATGAATTAAGATTAAGGATTATCCACTCCAACAATTAAGCAAAAATTGAAGAGACAAATAGGATTAGGCTGGTGAAATAGAGAATAAATAATTGAGAGGACAATTTTGATTTTCAATACAATAAAAAGAAATTTTGAAAATATTTAATTAGGAATGGTCAGAGAAGGATATATGATATTTAAATTATAAATCAAAGCTCAAAAAGATATTTCATAAAATTTTGGTTTATTTCATAAACTCCTGAGGATAAAAATATATGTATCTATTCCATGTTAAGGAGTAACCCTAACACTATTAACGGCTAGGATAAATTTGTAACTTGAAAGGAGAACTATAGTTGTACCAGGTCTCTTTAAGTTTATGTACTTGAGAATATTTTTTAAATTCCCGTCCTTAACCCTAAGCTGATGAAAGGAATCACTCAGTAACTTATTCTTGTTAATTTTTCACATAGCCTGCCTACCTGAAATTTTCTCAATTAATAAACTAAATTAAAATATAAATTTTTAACTAAATAATTTTTCAATAGAAAATCTGTCTCTATTATGAATCCTTTTTGTTGCCGTCAAAGCCCATAATATGAAAAAAAAAGAATAGCAACTCTCTATTCTTTTATTTTCTCCCTTAACTTGCTCATCCAAAACAATAACTGAAAGTAAAATGAATTTTCTGTTTCCATAGAGAAAAGCTTTTACTAAAAAGTAAAATTCGGGACAGAAAATAGATGAAAAGGCTAATAAATTAATAAAACAAAAGAAATAAAAATTATTAATGGGAAAATATTAATAATTTAAATTCTTGCCTAGAATATGCTTCGAATCCGGGATGTGTATAGTTAGCCTAAATATGCACACTTTTTATCAACCTGAACATTACCCGATAAATTTCAAAAACCAGAGTCAATTAGTGTTTTGGGGAGCTATTTTTGAACCAATTTTTGGGAGCTGTGACCAAATTTGTGGCCAAAATAGGAACTATAAGTGGCCACTATAGGACGGACGTTGGACGCCTTAACATGGCAAACCCCATTAATTTTTACATTTTTGTAGTTATTATTATTTTTTAGCGTATCCATACTGGCGAAAAGCCTTTCTCCTGTGAACATTGTGGAAGAGCATTTAGACAACCTGGAAATTTGACAAGACATGCTTATACACATACAACTGTAAGAAATTTTTTAAAAAGTTTTCGAATCATTTCCCTCCGGTTTAGGGCATTTAGTTTGCGTAGTTTGAACATTATTAAAAATCTTTCCTTAAACTTTGGAACAAAATTAATATTTTTACTTTTACCATTTTTTGTTACGAGTTTGTCTAGTCTAATGTTCGGATAATGGATATTTTTGATATTGCTAAAAACTAGTTTAGACTATACTTTGCCCAAACTTTCCAAACAAATAATTCCAGCTTAAAAAACACAAACTTTATCTAAATATTTAAGGTAAAGCCTTTTGTATGTACACAATGTGGAAAAGCTTTTAATCGAGCCAGCAATCTACAAACACACATACGCGGCCATCAACAAAACATAGAAGCTACTACCTCCGTTTAAGACTTTTTCGATTCAAAATATATTTCGGTAATAGTTTGGAATTCGCCCCCCCCCCTCTTTTTTCACTGTTTCACTGACCATTGTGAGCAGTTTTGTTTGTTACATAATTTATCATATATTATTCGAAAGAGCCCTTCAAGCGTGGTCGAATGATACCATGATTAGCCAGATCTGATCATTCTTACCAAAATTATGAAGCCTAATCCTAGTTTGGGCAAACTTTTTGTGTCAATGCAAGGGGATAAAATAAACGGTCACAACTTTGTTCACTTAAGTCAGATTTCGTTGTTCTTAACGTCATTTGACTCAGCTTGAAGAGCTCTTTCGAATGATATATAATTTGCCATAAAATGAAAAAAACTTAGAAAAAGAAGAAAGGAAAAAAAGGGGGGGGCGAATTCCAAACTATTACCTATATTTCATTAAAATGTAAAAAATGTAAATATTTATAATTTTGTTTCCTTATAGAACAATAAATTTAAAAAGTTTAATAAAGATAAAAATAGTTCACTGTTAAAATCTGCTATATTGAACAAAATTTATTGTTAAGAGTTTGAAAAAAATATTTAAATTTCAGAAAAGTCAATTAAATATCAATGATTTTATCTTATAAGTCCACAAAAACAATTTTATTTTCCCATCAGAAATGATTACATCGCATATTTCTGAGTCCATTCTTTAGCCGTAGCATCGTATGCAGCACGATCATTTACGTACTGTTCAGCAATAGCACCCCTCATTGGACTTTTTGGATTTGGATCGGTGAAAAGAGAGCAGATTGAAATCAAAACTGAAAAAATGAACAAAATATATTTCAATAACTGATACAATATTATCCGAAACTAAAAGGATACTGTACTTCTTTGTATTTCCTAGTCATTTGGCTATTAATTCTTATATTTCTTGTTACCATTTGGATATTCAGAAATCTGTGGTCAGAACGATTCGTTCCGAAAGCTTTTAAATCTGAATACTTTTGCCTACCACCCCCCCCCCCCCATATCTGAGTTCCGAATCAAGCCGGCGACCATTTTTTAATCCCTTTCTTATTTAAATTACCTTTTGAAATAGTTAAAGCCGGTGTCCATTTATGCTGAAGAATGTCCAGACAAATTGCTCCCTTTTCGCCGATATTTGGATGGTAAATCTGTGTTTTGAACCATACTTCTGGTGGTTTCATCGGATAGTTTTTTGGGAAGTTAATACTCAAGTAAAATACTCCTCCTTCATATGGCGAATTTGGCGGTCCGCAAATTGTAGCTTGCCACTTATAAGGCTCATCACCAATTGGACCTGCATTACACAAAGGTGGAGGATGACGTACAATGTCTGTAAACTCCTGAAAAATTTTAAAATTTAAGTATTCTACAAAATACACCATAAAATGTATTCTCGCAAGTCTCTTATAGTTCTTGTAAGTACTGTACTTCCAAAATAAGTATGTTCAAATACAAGCCCTGGGTGAAACGGATTCCTATTTTTAATTCTAATTCGGTAACGGGCAAATAAAAAATTAAGATAAAAGAGGGACTCAAAACCGACTTTTACCTATCAAAGATAAGTAATTAAAACAAACCTTATTAATTCGTTTGGTTGGATCCATTTGACGAAGTTTTAAAGAAAAAATTTATTAAATCTGAAAGTTTATTAAAACTATTGTTGGAAATTAAATGTAAAAATTGGTATTCTTTTGTTATCCGCCCTTATTTATCTTTACTACGAATTTAAAGAGACAGGCTCGAAGAAAGACCCAGGTAATAACAAGGATGCCCCCACTTTTTTCTGTTCTATTTTTTCCATTTTCTTTGGGAAATTAAATCCATTCGAAAGAGTCTTCGAGTTGACAATGAATCGAACGGTACTAAAATTATCGAAATCCGACTTAAATCAACATAGTTATGAGCATCTATTTTAATCTGTTTCAACATCACAAAAAGCATGTCCATAGAGGATTTAGCTTCATAAGTTTGTTCCTAATCTAACCGATCATGGTATCATTCTACCCAATTCGATCAGCTTTTCGAATGATCTATTGTAAATTATATGTCAAGCAAGAAAGTTCGAAATGGCTATGGAAACAAAAAAGGGGGGACCAGCCTTGGTATTACCAAGACCGATTCATGGCTTTCGCTAAGTTAATGAGTTAACTCAACTGGAACCGGCAGGGATTCCGATGTTTTGACAATTCATTGGTTAGTTTTAATCTCAGATTTTAATCTCCTATAGAGTTAAAATTTCATTCTGATTGAATTAAGGCTAAAGCTCGCCAGAACTAAAACGGGTTTAGGCCACCCCATGTTAATTCAAATATATTAAAGTTATACATATTGAAATTTAAAAAAATAGAAATATTTACATAAAAACTAACTTGATACTAAATAGAAATAAGATGAATGAATGGAGAAAATACTAAATTTATAGGTCAACTTTTTTCCAAAGGAAAATAAAAAAATAAAAACAAAGGAAATTTAAAAAAATAATCTTTTTCTTCAAAGTTTTTTCATTAGGCAAGAAATATGTATTAGAAAATTTGAAAATTTCTTTTTGCCTAAGTTAATTTATTATTATACATACATGTATTTAATAAACGATGAAGACGCCAACTCTGAATGGCTATAACTTGAAAGTCTGATTCTAAAACAATATTAATGACTTGGTATTAATGGAATTTTTAAGGTTTTTGTAGAGAAATCAGGGGATTTGTATTGATTAAGGTGATGTAAAGGAATAAAGAAATATTAAGATATCGAAGAGATATTGAGCGATTTGAAGAGATTGTATGATTTGAAATGATATCGGGTGAAAGATTGGATTAAGTAAGATTGATGAATCTGTATGGGTTAGCATGGGTATTAAGAATAGGGGGGGTATTAAGAATCCTTCATCTCTGATAATTTTGCTTAAGCCTTCACATTACTATTAGTATAGTACGGTAGTTTTCAATTAAAATTATTTTTTAATTAAATAAAAATTAACTTTATTAATTCATTAATTCAATTTAGTCATTAAAGATTTTCTTTCCATTGTGAAAAAAGGAGGAAGTCTGACCTTTCTGTAAGAATTAATAAAAATAATATCCTGCGAATATATGGGAGGGGTGTGGCAAAACCGAAAAATACCAAATTCAAATTTAATAAATTTTAATAAGTTTTAAAGAAAAAATATTTTTTTTAATTTTATTTAATTCTATCCCTTTAATAAAATAATTAAAAATTTTAAAAAAATCTTTAGTTATTATTTCTACTAATTATTGCAAGTTTTTACATAAATAATTTTTTAAAATTCTCTCTAAAATTTATTTTTTTATTTTATTTCTTCTTTTTCGATTTTTTCGTCGTTACTTAACAATTTTAGTTCTGTAGATTCTTTTTTTATTTCCGTCCCTTCATCTTCAAAATCTTGAAGTTGATGCTGCTCTCCTGATTTGTCAGAAGTCCCTGTATTACTTCTAGCTGTAGAGGGTAATCGTTGACTTCCTCCACCGCCTGGGCCAAAAATTAATTTGTCTATGTGGGCGACGGGTACTTCCATTGCCAAGCTAAGTAACAATGCACAGCCATAAACACAAAAAACTGCCGCGAAGAACATTAAAAGCTAAATAATGCTTTTTTGAATGATTTTTTGAAATATTTTTAAAAAATATTCAGTTAAGCCTAAAGATTTAGGGCGTAAATTCTAATAATTATGAAAATAGGATTATTAAGTATGACAAAATTTATGTCGCCACATAATATAAAAATTTGGAATGATGAGAAACGATCTTATCCACATAGGTAGCTAAATCTATGTTTCTTGGTAGCTTCAGAATTCAAAGAGGTCAAACATGGAAATCTGGGTAAAACCCAAAACGGCGCAAAGCCGTAACTTGCTGGAAAATTTCTGGCCCTTAAAAATTTTGGTACCAATCTCTTTATCTCGATGAGAGGACTCGTTCAATACCAAATTTGGTGAGATTAGAAATCTTGAAACAAGTTTTGGTTTTGAGCCTTTATGGCCACGCGTGTCGTTTGGGCGTGTCCCTGGAAATCCATACTATCTATGGAACTCTACCTATGAAAAATTATTAGATTTGGAGAACTTATCAAAATCAAAAAATTCACCAATTGGAATGAATGAGTAAAGTGAAAAGCACTAGGCCGGCTGAAATAATATAATTGCAATAAGATTGGGTGAAGCAAATAAGCACAAAACTTTAATTTAAAATTTTACTAAAAAATGTAAAAGAACCCCACAGTAATCTTGCTAAGAGGGATAAACATTTTGTGGCCAAGAATGGCATTCATTGTTTCTTTAAAAAAATTATTTTTTGGAAATTATTAATTTTTGGTAAAAGAGCTTACGGCCATGGTTTGTCTCACAAGCAAAAGCAATCCATCCCAAAGCTATAGCAAACGATAATCTTCCGATCGCGGCATATGTAAGGGAATACCACAAAGAAATGTCGCCAGTCCGTGTATACTCATACAAACCAAAAATTGAATAAAACCCTAGAATTGCACTAATGGACCAACCAAGGACCCATTGGAGCTGAAAATTCATTAAATTTAATTAAGTAGATTATAAAATCTTCCATACATAGAAACTAAATATCGCGTGAACTAAGAGAGGCACAAAGCTACAAAAATAAACTTACGACTAATCATAAATATTAGACTAGGGTCGATCCACGTCCCCGGGGAAGGGAATTCCCGGGGGCGGGGGACCCCCCACTACGTCCCCGTTCCACGAATTCCCCGCAAGCCTCCTTCCCCGTAAGCTCAGCTTCCGACACGTAATATCGAACTCTCTATTAGAATCCAAATATGATTAACTAATTTTAAATCTAGAATTTATAAAGGTACTTTTGTAAGTTGAAATCTATTTTCTCGTTGTCGTTTACATTCTGAGAGGAAATACCCAACAATACAGCCAACAATATAGGGACCACAACGGATATAAGGCTTAACTAAAGATAGAAATTTTATATCATTAGTAATAGAGAAAAACCGTAAAGATCTGACCAATATTGTTTTAGGTTGGCAATACTAAAAGGATTTTTGAATTACATAAAATAATTTTAAGAAAAAACATTTGAAGTTTTGTAGTAAGTAGCGGTGCTGGGGGATATCCTTTAATTATAGTGATTATCACTGTGAAGACCGAAGAGAAGATAAGAAGGAGAATGCCAAAGAACACTCCACCCATTTTATATCTAAAATTAATTTTTTAAACTTTGAACGAAGGAGGTTAAAAAAGATTAATACCATTTTTGGTCTGACACTACTATATGTCCACTAATAAATTATTGATTGATGATAGACTACACAATTATAGGAGAGACAAATATCGGGCGAGGGGTGTTAGAGAAATTTTTCCCTGGCTGGCCGGAGGGGGCTGGCCAGTTATTGCCATTTTGTCCCGCGACAAAATGCCACTTATCAAAATGTCAAGGGACAAAATGCCCCATGACAAAATGTCAAGGGACAGAATGCCATTTTTTTTAGAACGTCCTGGGACAAAATGTCAACTGCCAAGTTGCCAACTTTTAAAAATACTTTTAAAATAAAAGCCGCTGGGCAGTGATCGAACTGGCGACCTTCACGTTATTGGCGGATGCTCTACCGACTAAGCTACCAAGAAGCTAAATTACTTTTACTATTAATGTATCTTAAACCTAATCATTCATCTAAGGGGAAGTTTCTTAGAGTATCTATCATATTGTCTGCTTGAGTCTGAGTAATAAATCCATGGGTCCTTAAAAACTTAAGCATAAAAATCCAACAGAGAAAAATAATAGGTAATAATAGGGTGTATTGTATTACTAAAATCAATAATTCATAAGGCATCGGGGCATCTATATAATCTTTTTCTATAGTCAAAAAATCAAATGATTGATTGGAGAAATTACCAGTGTCAGAAATATTCTGCATTTTTGTTATTGAAAATAATAAAGGCTTCTTATGTATTAACCCAAATTCGAGTCAGATACAATATGGCGATTATAATCAATCATGAGCATCTGATCAAATTCTCCTAAAACAATCATCTCAACACCTCCCGTGGGAATTGGAGTATTGAATTCTAAGCGAATACTAGTCGTACCACTTCGCAAAAGCTCGAAACCGCATGAATCATCTAATGTGGAAGTTAAGGGGATTACAAAGAAGGTCCATCCGCTTTTAAATTTTTCCATAGAAATATCGAAGGATCGATCTGAATTAGCCATACCCAATGCTTCATACATGTCAACATAGGCGCGAACAAAGAGATCTTCTTTAAATTTTAATTTATAGGCGACCATGGGGTAAATATGCCCACCAGTATGAACTGAAATATCTCTCAAGTCATAGGGTAGAAAATTAAAAGGAGATAGACTAAAATCTCCATTGAAGGCCTTGTTACCTACTAGGGCAACTGTGATTCGCCGCGGGATACTTGCACTAAATGCATTGTATTCGATTTCAGTTCGTCCCGCAGTAAGAAAAGTTGACTTAATTTCAGTTTTACGAATTGCATAAGTGGCTGGTTTGGACTCTAGAGTCTTGTAAATATTCATGTTAAGGGATGGTTGAACTTCAATCATTTTTGCAAAAAGCTTAACGTCATGAACGTAGAGTCTATACTGATTCTCATCAGTAGAGTTTAGCTTTTGTAAGGCAAATGAATTTTTAGATCGATAAACGCTAAAATTAACATCTAAATTATTTAATAAAAATAATTCTTGATTTCCCAAATCAAAATCTAGGCGAGAAAGAAATTGGCATTTCTTGCCATTTGAAAAGAGAGAACTTCGCTTTAGGAAACCAAAGTCAATGCTATCATCATGTTTATCGGTTTTGTAATATCCGATGGATGCAAGAAAGTTAGATTTAACATTATTAGGAAATGAAAGTTCATTTGTTATATACGCCTTGTAAGGATAGAGAGTCCCACTATCGTACACTTCATTATTTCCCACTGTGACTTTTAATTGTTGAATAAATGTTTGGCCAATTCCCTGAATTGGGGCAATGCTTGTATCAGTAGCGGTAATTGCACTCCATTTATTGTCTCCGCCAAATTTTTCAATGGAAAGCTCAAGATAGAGATAAGTACGCGATAAATCAGTCCAGAGATTATCGCTAAACAAACGAAATAAATAAGGAGAATCTTGGGTAATTGTACTTAAGGGAAGTATTTCACGGAAAAAGGAACGAACAACTGAAACGTTAGTATGTGGAACAGTGAATATACTTAAGGCACTATTAAGAGCTAAGGGGCTGTTTTCGTTTATCTTCTTGCAGCAGCTCATTTTAATATGTACCAAGTGCGTCTACACGAAATCGTTTTTTGGTAGATTTTTTGCGCGATTTTCGTGAAGTCTTTGGAATAAAATTAGGGGGACCGATTTTTGAATATGGTCGTTTATTTATAGTTTTTACCTCTAAATCATGACTATCATTATTCATCTGACCTATTGCAGGGCGTTTCTCAACATTTTTATACCGCTTAAAATCAAAACCCTTCCCCTTTTGTTTGTCAACATTGTCTGCTGCTTTCTGAAGCAAATTCTTTAGACCAGATTTACCCTCATCTATAAGTGATTCCTTTAAATCTTTACCTTCTAAAACATTTGTTAGAACACGATTACCAGATTCCAAGCCCTGCCTACCAATGGCACTACCAATTTGTTTTCCATAAGGAATCAGGTATCGCAAAAAACTTCTAAATACAGATCCTAGACCACTGCCTCGTTGGTATGGGACACCTCGAAAAACATTATAACCACCCCATTGATGAACTGAATTGTCTAATGATAAATCGGTCAATGTTGACCAATCAACATGCGAGGGATCAAATTCGATATGCATTATTTTTAATATCAATGTAATAAATTCTCAACTATTTATACTAAATATCTTAGCGGAGACAAATTCCGAAACCAATTTGTCTGCGTCAACTCCTTTTAAATATTTAATTATCTTATCCATGGGCAATCCTTTACATCGCAGAAACAAGAAAAATATTACGTGTTGACCGCATGTGTACTGAAAGGAATTTTGAATTTGAATTCTATTAAAGCGAACGCTTTGAAATAAACTCAAATAGTTTCGTATATGTAAGCTTATTGGGGGCCATATCCCCAACGAATCATAATAATCTACACTTGGATATTGACAAAATATTGCTATCCAGTGACTACCAGCTTCCCTACTTGTATCAGTATTTACAACCATACAAAAGATTTTAAAATTAATGGGGTTAGGAATGGAATCCGAAGGGAAACAACCGATATAATAATATTTTGTGATGTTATTTCTATTTAATATTTTATTTATTTGTAAAGTGTTCATAACACATTAAAAATAGGGTGACTTTTTAAAATGGAGGGTTAATGTACAAGTTCCATATTGAAATGGCATTAGGGCTCCACTTGATGTTCTTATTTCAATAAAAATTTCATAAATTTCCTTAATTAGCAATTTATGATACTGTATAAAAAGAAATTGTTCTTCAACAATTTCATCTTGTTGACCCCTAATATTTACAATGCGTAAAACAGGAGCACTTACATCTCCAATCACCATGGGTTCGATTAGTCCAGGGGCATATACGTGAAAAGATGACACTCCCCCTCTCATATCAGGTATAAATCTTGCTACCGTGGATTCGGATATATCATAAGATTCGAACCCTAAAATATAGGCAAGTTGATCTGTAATTTTAATATTTTTTATATATGTTTTATCTAGAGTCAGTGCGAAACGATTTTTCTTAGCATAAAACTCAAAGTTACACACAGATCCTGGCTTACGATAGACACTTATCCATTTTTCGAATCCAGTATCACTTGTTAATGAAATAATTTTTCTTTTATTTTCATCCAAACTATTATGGTATTCCAAAAGTAAATTAGAGTATATTTCTGGTTCAGTCATTATATTAATATTCTCTTCTGGTTCGTGTTCATTTTTGGTTGTATTATCTGCTAGCTTTTTGTTTTTTTCACCTTTTAAATTGATATATTCTTGCTTTGCTTGGGCTCTAAGTTCTTTTAACTTACCCAAATATTCTAAATGAAATATCCTCATTTTTTCTGATAAATCTTCACAACCTTCATTAAGAGATTTATCCAAACTTTCTTTTAATTGTTGAGGATTAACAAAACTAGAGGAAGGTACTTTTAAACTAACAATTTCCCCGGTCTGCCATGTTACAATAAAAAATTGTTCGGAAGTAGTACCAAGAGATGGCCATGTATGGGGGTAAACCATTACAGCTAATCCAACTGACCATTCTGAATTAAATTGCAATTTATGGGGTAATCGAACTCTGAACGAATTTGTTTATTCCCGTCAACATTAGTATTAGAAGGTAAAACAATATAAAATGAAGTCATTTTAATTTAATAGTATTTCCCATTGCCCATCTATTTATATTATTTCCAAATAATTGAACTTGCAGGAACCCAACTATTATGTTTGGGAGCGTAACCCTTCCATTTTACTAAACACTGATCTTCGTTATCGATTCTCCGTTTCTTTAAAACCTTTTCTATATCATAAAATTTTTCATTATTCTTGAGTTCCTTTACCAAACACAAATCATCTGAATAGAACCACCCCCTTATTATTTCTCCCTCTTGATCACAAATTCTATATGTAGGTGGCTGGTGCGGTACTTCTCTTATTTTATTGATGATAAAAATCTCATTAGTGAAATTTGGCAAATATCCCTTCTGAAATACATGCTTGTACTTCTCTATTCTAACTTTATCCCCTACTGAAAACTTTTTGGTCTTCCAACGCTTTGGAGCAAATTCCTCAATGGCCTTTACTTTTAATCTCTTTCTTAATTCTTCAGCATTTCTATAAGAGACGTCCACAGGACGCATACCAATACTTGAATTATAAGAGTGGTTTATGGAAGAGACTATATCTTGAATAACGTCTATCCATTTTAATGTTCGTTTTTCAGTAAAGTAGCGATATAGTCGTTCTTTTATACTTCGATTAGCCCTTTCTGCCATTCCTGCGTGCCATTGCGGAGACGTAAGCATAGAAAAATGCTCCATTTCCAATGACTTAAAATATTTTTGGACATCTTTCGCTGTAAACTCAATTCCTTGATCTGTTAGTAATTTCCAAGGAACAATTTTTATTCTTGAAAACAATTTTTTAAAAGCATCAATCATATTCATACTTTGTTTACTCTTAACTGGTTCA